ACAACCTCTGAAAAGATGAGAGGTTACAAAGTGGAAAGGGGTGACCTGGGAACAGGGTGTTTTAAAAAGAGTGGCAGAGTGGAGAATAAAGTCACAAGACTTGTTCACAAGAGGGTGCTGGGTTAAAGCCTGACCTTGAGCCACAAATCATGGAATCACACGGCTGGAAGGAATCTTAAGAGGCCATCTCGTCCACTCCCCCACCATTCAGCAGGACATTTCAACCATCCCAAACAGATGAGACTTTATCTAACTTTGAATGAAAAGCTCTGACACCAAATGGGCAGGTATTGACTACTCTGGCTTCAACTGTTTACAACGGGCAGGAAAACAATTTCTGGTATTTCATTTGAACCTGAACTGAAATGGGGAAACAATAAATGGATAGATTTTTCTTGGGAACAATAACTCCTGTGGCAGTTTAGGGACTGCTAAATTAGCACTAACTATGTAACTACTCTTAAAGAGAGAGAAAAGTTAACAACAAAACTAGGTTAGGGGATAAATGTCCCACAGTATTATATGAGTAACGGTGTGTTGTGATCATTTTTGGTAATTGTGGAGTCTTCTCTCCATGTAGGAGCCTGGAGCAGAATGACACTAACAAAAACAAAACTTAGTTGTTGTTGTTGTTGTTGTTGTTTTAAAGCAATATGGCCTAGCAAATTCCAGGACTGACACTGAGGACGTAAAATAGTTCAATTCCTCTCCTAACACAAGACAATAAATTCTCACACAAATTAGAAACTGAAAAGGAAATAAAAAGGTCCTCATTTCTGATCGTGGGAATATTACACAGGAACTCTGGCTTGGAAGGAGGAGGGGAGAACATTCCACACCTGTAGGCCTTCCCAGGAAAGGCGCCTGAGCCTGGCCCTGAACCCATCCCCTCAAGGTTATACCATGGGACTATCAGTATGAAAATAATGTTACTTTATTCTCTTAGTGGGTATATTATTTCCAGAGCTATCAACAGTAACCATAACCTGCAAGGAGGCAGCTGAGAATTCCCAGGAAACAAAGTGAAAAGCTATTTTGGGATGTGCTCATAAATGGCCTAGCCATAGTTCATCTGGATGGACAAACATGGGGCATACATGCAGAGAGAGAGAGAGAGAGAGAGAGAGAGAGTGTGTGTGTGTGTGTGTGTGTGTGAGAGAGAGAAGGTCCTATGGTCACAGCTCTAGAAAATCATTATCCGTGTGTGTGTGTGTGTGTGTGAGAGAGAGAGAGAGAGAGAGAGAGAGAGAGAGAAAGTATCTCTGTATTAGCACACTATTATAGTTTTAATAGATGCAGCACCGAGCAAGGGGCTTAGGAAAATAACATCACATTCTCAGATTCACCACTCAATTACATGTGAACTTGGAAAGTTAACTTAATTCTACCTCCCTATCACCAAAGCTTTAGGCCGATTTAGTCAGGCATTCAGTGAATCCAGATGTTTGGCAGTATATAGGAAACATCTGGATAATTGACTGAGTTTTCAACTGAACTCACTGAATCTTTTGGCAGCATGTCTACGTTTACACAGCCACTGATGACTTTCTGCCTCAGTTTCTCTAACTATAAAAAGGACAAACATTATTTATCACTTACCTCCCCAAAAAACAGTGAAAATGAGATAAGGTTTAAGAGTAATAATGAGTTCTTGAAAAGATTCTGTCACAGTTTTATATCTTATATAATTCCAGGTTGGATTTTTTTTCTAAGCAGTTAGACCTTAGAACATGACATCACTTTGAAATATGGGTAAATGCTATACAAAGACAACACATTATCATTATCATCAACATCATCGACATCATCATGACTTTCTTCTTTATGACTTCCCTAAAGTGTCTCACTTTCAGATCGAATCATGGCCAAAATATGAATTTTATTTAAGGACTGAAAAAATGTGTTTCAGCTATATAAAGCAACACAGATGAGAAAAAAAATCAATGTGGGTGTTTGGAGTCCAACAATTTTAACAGCTCAACTGAAACAGGTAAAACTGGTTTATCAATGAGAATTAATTGGTTGCTCAATGGTATTTGTATAGAAACTGACAATGTTCACACACTTATTCATGGCCAGAGGTAGGAAAAAGGAATTGTAATAGCGACCTTTCTCTCTATGTACATCACCCTACCTGTCAGCCGGTTTCAGCTTTTCGTGGCTGAAAGTTAGAGGAGAGGGAAACAAGGAGACAACATGGGAGAGAAAGAAAGAGAAGAGATGCATTAAAGGGATCTATAAACATACAAAACTGGGGGAGAAGAATTAGACTGGCAGAAAGTACTGGAACTCCCTTTCAAACTCAAGTCCTGCCTATAGAGAAAATCCTAAACACAGTCCTCACAACTAACTGCCATATATTAAGTGCCTGTCATGCACATGCAATTACATATATCTGTGTGCATATTTTATATATATATATATATATAAAAATAAATATATATATATATATATAAAAATATATATACACACTGGAGTTTTTGATACCTTTACCATAATACCAATGAGAGAACTAAAGCTCAGAGAGGTTAACTGATTTACCCAAGGTTATATACCTAGTAAAATCTATAACTGAATTCAGATCCATTTGGATTCAAAGCCCATATTCTTTCTACTGTGCCCAAAGCCTTTGCTGAAAGGGCTTGCTATAAATACTTTTTAGTGACTGCCTGCTCATATAGAAGCCCACGTCTGATGCAGCTTTCCCATTTTCTAGGGTGGGGTCTGCGCACAGGTCTTCACTCTATCTTTCTTATGACTGCCCCTCCCTTGCTTGTCGTTACCTACTCAAACCCTACTCATCGCTTATGGCAGATCTTAACACTTGCCCCTCTCTGCAATCTTCCCACTAGCCTAATCATGCCACCCAAAACCAATGAGCAGCACTCCTCTTCAGGCTCTGTATCACAGGCTGCCCTTTATCTTTATTTAACCACTTCCTATGCTTGTGCTTCCTCTCCCAAGGATGCTGTGAGGACAGAGGACTAGACTTCCTTTGAATCCCCAAAATCCCTGGCACCTGGCTGAGTACATAGTAGGTAATCCTTAAGGTCTGTTGACACAAGGGACCTGTTGACAATACTCCTCATTTAGGATTAGGGACACAGTGATGGAAACTGAGATTTTGGCCTCACCAGTATTGGGGTCTAACCAGTTGAACATAGCCACCTAGACACATTTGGTTTGAGATAATTTGTACCACTGTCCCCAAGTGAAGTATATCATGCCCTCAACTCAGTAGTAAGTGTTTTACATTGTTTGTGCTCTGATCCCCTCAGAGATGCATTTTGAAATCATCACACTATATCTAGCAAGGCTTCATAGAACTTAGTGAAGTTGTACTTTCACACACACACACACAAAGGCTCAGTTAGGTAGACGCTGCCATTATCATTTGCTCAGCAGCACTATCAGCTATTTATTAAGTGCTCACTGAGTACAGAGTACTTTATTAGGCACCAGAGGAGTTTACACTCAAGCATGTCATCAATACTTTCACAATGCAATTGCAGTGAAAAAAATACTACTCTTAGAAAGCCCTTCTAAGTATTTTCTAAGACCCACAAAAATTTCACTGCTAAAATCCATATTTTAAAGACCCACAAAAATTTCACTGCTAAAATCCATATTTTAAAAACTCATGCCAATGTCTTTGTATAAAACCTCCGTTCTTGCATAAGGATTTCAGTTCCATTAAGTTCTTCCTAAACTATAAATAGAAGTCAGTGATGCCGGAGTCCTCCCACCCATGGATCATGGGGCAGGAACACTGTCACTCTGGTATATGCCTTTTTGGTGGCATTTTTATTGTGGCCACAAAGCAATCACAAGCAGATGGTACAACTAACTTCTATTTGTGTCTTGTTACTAAACTTCTTATGAGAGGAAAAACTATGTGTACAGGTCAAGGGAATCTGTGGGTGTCTCTGTGCATGGCAGTGAGTCAGAAGCTGGCAGGGATGCAGTGAAATTGGACTTCTCCTGTCTTGCTGGTGACAGTGAAAACTGATACATTCTCATTGAAAAGCAATTTGGATACATGCATTTAAATTGCTCATATCTTTTGACCCAATAACTTTAGCATGTTAAGAAAATAAGCTAAGATCAGGATAAAGCATTATATATGAGGAGGTACCTTTATTTATGATGGCAAAAAATTTGAAGCGACCTGTATATCCAGCAAAAGCATGCAGATTATGATGAATACTCAACAGAATATTATGCAGCCATAACAAATAATTAATATAAAGATTTGTGGGGACCAGGCATGGTGGCTCACACCTGTAGTCCTAGCACTTTGCGGGGCCAATGCAGTAGGATCGCTTGAGCCCAGGAGTTCGAGACCAGCCTGGGCAACATAGTGAGACCTCATCTCTACAAAAAAATTAAAAATTAGCCAGGTGTGATGGTGGATGCCTATAGTGCCAGCTACTTGGGAGGCTGAGACATGAGAATATCTTGAGCCTAGGAGGTCAAGACTGCAGTAAGTCACGATTGTGCCACTGTGCTCCAGCCTGGGCAACAGAGCAAGACTGTGTCTCAAAACAATACAATACAAAACAAAACAAAACAACAATAACAAAAAAATTTGTGACAATATGGAAAAGTGTTGCCAAGATAGTGTTAATTTTCAGAACTACAAATCACTTGTGGATTTCTGATTATGGAAAAAGTCTGTGTGAGTGTGCCTTTCTGGACAAATGTTAGACGAGAACATGTAAAAATGAAAACAGACGGGATAGAATAGTGCGATTGTGAGAAATATTTTTCCCTCTATTTTCTAAGATACCCCTCATATTGCAATATTGTCTTTATAATTTAAAAGCCGGGTGAAAAATGAAGGCCAGAAGTCCTTTTTAGCAGACAGACTATTTGAAGAAAATAATAGTGTCTTTTCTAAAAACCCAAGAATATAGTTTGAACAGTGGAAGCTGTCTCTCTCTCTCTTTCTCTCTGTCATTTCTACTTTTTATTATTTTTTTTTTTGACATTCCACATACCTGGTTAATGTGCTTCAATTTGTCAATAATTTGACTGACTACTGGCTCAGGGCCCTTCATTTTCAGCTCATGGAGATTGAACTGGTTTTTCATTCCATTCCTTGCCGCCTTTTGGCTGTATCTGTAAAGGTGAAGTTAAAGAAAAGGTTTGTCAAAGAAAGTCCCAAACAAAGGAAAAGCTGACTTTATTTGGCATCAACAGTCAGGCTGACCACAAGCTCATGAGACGACCTCATGGTGCAAAAGTAGACCATTCCACATAGTGTCTATTTACAGTAAGAAAACATTCATTCAACAATCAGCAATTATATTCAATATCCCTTTTCTTCCCTAGATGTTGGGGATACAACAATGAACAAGACAGACAAGGTCTGTGTGCGCTTATTGTGCTCTCAGTCTAGTGGGGAGTCTAGAAGAGTAAGGGCCAATGACAAGGCAGAGTGATTAGAGCTGTGCTGGGGGAGGTTCAAGGTCATGACAGTGAAGTACACAGAATGAACCTTCGCTGTGTGTAAGCCTTCTACTCATTTGAAGGAGAAAGATTCTTCCATATTCTTTACCTCTTCCTTCCCCTCTTCTTCCTCCTCCCACTGTTTCCTGTAGGCTATGGAGCTGGGTATCTATTCAGGAGACTTTCTCAAATCACTTGCACCATAAATTACACCTGTCAGCTTCCCTCTGCGTTCTCCATGAGAGGAGAGAACACTAGCCTGAGGGAAGATTTTAACGTGCTCCTGTAGTATAAACCATAGGCTTTACTCCAGAATTGAAGTTTCAGGGTAGCAATGGACATCCTCACCATCATGAGAAGGGTAACTACTTAAAGTACTAGGCAATTCTGCTTTCCAGTGTGGGGTTTTGCCAACTTCAACTGGGACAGTGATGCACAGATGAGGTGGTTTCCTTATTGCACCCATAGTTCCAGACCTCTACATAGAATTATTCCTCATTTTGCGAAACAAAGAAAACAAGAAACAGATGTCATTTATTCCTTCTGCTTTCATCATGTGGGAATACCAGAACACCATTGCCAAAAAGGGAAAAAGGTTTTGAGCTCTTTTTTACTTGCCCCTGATCCTGATAATGGAATGCTTTCTTAAAGAAATGAAAAGATTCCCAGGGCTTTTGCTCTCTCTTTATATACTTTTTTTTTCAATTACAATAGGGTAGCCAGGGTTATAAGGGTAAATTGATATCTATAATTCATATTTTAAATTATGAAATAATAATGTTCATTGTAAACAATTCAAGAAGTACAGAAATAAACAAGGCATAAAGTAAAAGTTGCCCCATCAATCTGTTTTTCCAAGAGTGGACCATGGTCAACAGTTTGATATACATGTAGAGGTTTTCACCTACATATACTAATGGGTAATTTTAACCAAAATTGGAATGATGTTACTCATACTGATTTGCAACTTTGTATCACTTAATATATATACTTTGGACTGGACTTGTAATCTCAGCACTTTGGGAGGCCAAGGCAGGAGGATTACTTGAGCCCAGGAGTTTGCGTACAGCCTGGACAACATGGTGAAACCCCATCTCTATAAAAAATACAAAAAATTAGCCAGGCGTTTTAGTAGAGACGGGGTTTCGCCATGTTGACCAGGCTGGTCTCGAACTCCTGACTTCAGGTGATCCATCCACCTTGGCCTCCTAAAGTGCTGGGATTACAGGTGTGAGCCACCATGCCTGGCCAACTTTTTGTAGAGACGGGGTCTCCCTATGTTGCCCAGACTGGTCTCAAACACCCGGGCTCAAGTGATCCTCCCGCCTCAGCCTCCCAAAGTGCTGAGATTACAGGCATGAGCCACAGTGCTCAGCACTTTTTTCTTTTGAATTATGACTCTAACATGATTTTCACTGCCACAGGTGGGGGTCCTCTGAGGTAGTTTGTGTGTTATCTCCACAGGGTGACAGGCTGTGTTCTGGAAGGATGTTCAGGATTGAATTTCAATTTTCAGTCACTCTCACTGGATTCCCAAACCAGCCTAGTTTGGGACAAGAGATTACAAAACACTCCTTAGAAACACTAACTCATCTCAACTAAAATAGGGAGTGAATGAACCTGGCATATTAAAGTGTTAATAATGACAAACTGAAAAATATAAAATAACCACAAAATAATGAGGCAGTCTCGATGGAATGGGCACATTTACCTGTGTGCCTCATTTTATGCAATGTAGGTATTTCAAAGAAGTTGTGTGTGAAATGAATTTCTGTGATCTAAATACTCTAAACAGGTCGAAGAAGCCTTGTTATTTAAAGAAATTCTGTAAGCACATCTTTTTAACTGAAAAAGTAAGGAAAGTCCTGCTTCACAAATCATTTAGTATATTTTGCTTAAAGTGAGGTACACTTGTATTAAACTAAGGAAAAACATCAGTGAATTGTGTTCTACTGTTTACATTATGTATAATTTCCAATGAGATAAGATAATGAAAAGCGAAGATGCCTAAACTGATTTGTGTTTAATTCAACACACAGCTCGATCTACCAACAAAGAGTTTTCATTTGGCATTTGCAAACAGATTATCATTTAGATGGCACCACCAAAGCAGCTTCAATGTTGCAACTTGAACGTCTTTAAAGAGACCACAATTTTATTTTAGGAATTAATTAGGTATCCACTTAAGGTAGGCATTAAGCATTTCTAATTCTAATTAATTGATTCTAAATGATCACTTTTTTAAAGCACAATCAAACTGTTTTGGTCCTATAAAAAATATGGTGGTTAATTGTGGCTTTAAAAAGCTGGACTACATTTTAATGCTCAAAGTAGAAGCTAAATATTTTGTAAAATGATAGTAATGCCCCAAAAAATGAAACTACATTTATGGTTTAGTGCCTCTATAATCTTGTTTATATCACCAAATACAAGTCACAACTGTCAACAACAACTACCAGCTGCCAAGTTGTTGGATGTTATGCTTGAGGAATGGGGGAAAGGAACACTTTTTGTATTTTTCTGGCTTTTGTCTCTGATAAGAAAGTGGAAACTTTGACAAAAATATTGAGTTGCAGTATTTTAATACAAAAAACAGAACTGCTTAAAATAAAACAATTAAGAAACCGAACCACTAAAAAAAAAAAAAAAAAAAAAAAAAAATTGCTGGGCGTGGTGGTGCACAACTTTGGAGGCTGAAGTGTTGAGCCCAGGAGATCAAGGCTGCAGTGAGCTGTGATCACACCACTGTGCTCTAGCCTGGGTGACAGAGTGAGACCCTGTTTCAAAACAAAAACTAAAACTAAATATATACTTTGGACATATTTTCATGTTAGGACACATGGAACTGTCTTGTTCTTATTCCTCTGTATGGCTCAATAATAACTTATTTATCCAATACCTTACTGATTAACAATAATTTGTAATATTTTGTTAATATAAACAATGCTGCAGAGAACATCCTCGTATACTGATTTTCACACATTTGCATTTACATCTATAAAGGATAAATTCATAGATTTGAGTCAATTTATATTTCTAATCCCAAATTATGAAGTACAAAGAATAATGAACACTACCATATTTTTGCACAGCACTTTACAAAGCAGTTTCATATCACTCAGCTCATTTGAACTTCTCAACCACACTGTGAAGTTGAGAGGTAGATAGGGCGTTATCTCTTTATTACTGAAAATTGCACAACTTCAGAAGATACTAATCTCGTTCTATTAGATGTCCCCGTCCATGATACAATGTATCTGCCAATATTAAGGACATACTTTGAAAAACATGCATGCTAACAGAGGAGGTCAGGAAATCTAGTTCTGACATTCATAATTAAATGTCATCCTCTGAGAAGGAAAATATTTTGTAGCAAAGATGCTGAAGAGTACATTTGATTGCATTTCTTCTAAAATGATAGCTTAACACATTCAGATTATTTAACTTTAAAAGTTAATTCGTGAATACACAGATCACCAATCATCAAATACCAATTGCCTTTGGGGGCTGTTTTAAAGAGACATAAAGGAACATTCTTTATCTGTTGGGAATCAACTCACTACTAGCCTCCTCTTTTATGTTCATATAATGTGGTCTGTTTAAATATCATCCACCTTCTGATGATACTACCAACTCCATCTTCTCTTCTTTAACTCCTACTGATGCCTGAAGCAGAGACCCTATTTGCAGATAAAGAGGTAAGGTTCATTATAAATCTTCTGAAATGAACTTCAGGAATGTGTCCCTAGAGACATATCCTTGGTCTTTTTTATATCAAAGCTTGCCAGCCACTTTTATGTCCACTCCTATAAAACAAGCGTCTTCCTGAAGCTACTTATTCTCATTGGAATAGTGTAAAGACATCTGCCAACTTAGCGATTTTGCCCCGTACTCCAGCTTCCAAAACTATTATAAATATTAAATCAAATTAGTCCCACAGCTGATCCTTTGTGGTCCTACTGTATTAATTCCTGCCATTCAGAAAAGTGCCCCTTTAGCTATGTATTTTTTAAAATTTCTTATCTCCCAGCCATGGATAAAGAGCCAGGACTAAACACTGCTCCCTGATCCCACAGTGACTCCATTTTTAAAAGACAGTTTTGGGTTCAAAAGCTTGCCAAACTTTTTGAAAGTTGAAATAGCATCTACTGTTCTGCTCTATCCATGTGCTATTTAAATCCTCAAAGGACTCTCACAAATTAAGCATGGATTCTGGTTACAGAAGTGTTGGGAATAGCTGCCCTGTGTCTTAGGCCTAAAACTTGCCATTATTGCATCTACTTCACAAGGCAGTAACCAAAAGTCCTGGTCCAACTGATGCTTATAGTCGCTTAAGTTTAGTGGCACTATTTAAAAACTCTGTGTTCTTGCACTATCCTTTAGGTATCTTGATACTTCTCCCACAGCTCTCAATACTTTTTTGCTTCTCATGTCTCTATCCTTTGCTCCTTAGCCAGACAAAATATTGAACCAAATTTTAAAAGTAATGAGTGTTAGAATGAAATACTATGAGCACATTAATAGGGCAAAGTAGATCTGTATGTGTTGATACGGCATCAAGTACGAGATACATTATAACAGATAGAAGTAGCAGCATCCGCGGTGAAAATGGGTCTACATTTGCATTACTCTTATACACTCTATACATGTTCAAATATGCCCAGAAAAAT